CCCACAAGAGTGCGCCGCAAGAGTGCCCTACAAGAGTGTCCCACCAGAGTGTCCTACAAGAGTGTCACACAAGAGTGTCACACAAGAGTGTCCTACAAGAGTGTCCCACAAGAGTGTCCTACAAGAGTGTCCTACAAGAGTGTCCCACAAGAGTGTCCCAACAAGATTGTCCCACGGTGTCTGTCCTACAAGAGTGTCTCACAAGAGTGTCCCACAAGAATGTCCTGCAAGAGTGCCCTATAAGAGTGACCCACAAGAGTGTCCTATAAGATGCCCCACAAGAGTGTCCTACGAGAGTGTCCCACAAGAGTTTCCTAAAAGAGTGTCCCACAAGAGTCTCCCACAAGAGTGTCCCACAAGAGCGCACTACAAGAGTGTCCCACAACACTGTCCTACAAGAGTGTCCTACAAGAGTGTCCCACAAGAGTTTCCTACAGGAGTGTCCCACAAGAGTGTCCCACAAGAGTGTCCCGCAAGAGTGCCCTACAAGAGTGTCCCACGAGAGTGTCCTGCAAGAGTGTCCCACAAGGCTTTCCTACAAGAGTGCCCCACAACAGTTTCCTACAAGAGTGTCCCACAAGAGTGTCCCACAAGAGTTTCCCACAAGAGTGTCCTACAAGAGTGTCCCACAAGAGTGTCCTACAAGAGTGTCCCACAAGAGTGTCCCACAAGAGTGTCCCACAAGAGTGTCCTACAAGAGTGTCCCGCAAGAGTGTCCTACAAAAGGTCCCATAAGAGCCATAAGAGTGTCCTACAAGAGTGTCCTATAAGAGTGTCCCACAAGAGTGTCCTACAAGAGTGTCACACAAGAGTGTCCCACGAGAGTTTCCTGTAAGAGTGTTCCACAAGAGTTTCCTACAAGAGTGACCCACGAGAGTGTCCTGCCAGAGAGTGCTACAAGAGTGTCCTATAAGAGTGTCCCACAAGAGTGTCCTATAAGAGTGTCCCACAAGAGTGTCCTATAAGAGTGTCCCACAAGAGTTTCCTACAAGAGTGTCACACAAGAGTGTCCCACAAGAGTGTCCTACAAGAGTGTCCTACAAGAGTGTCCCACAAGAGGGTCCCACAAGAGTGTCCTGTAAGAGTGACCCACAATAGTGTCCTACAAAAGTGTTTCACAAGAGTGTCCTCCAAGAATGTCCGACAAGAGTGTCCCATAAGAGTGTCCACAAGAGTATCCTATAAGAGTGTCCCGCACGGAGTGATTTGTGGTATCAAGGGTATCCCGCAAGAGTTTCCTACAAGAGTGACCCACAAGAGTGTCGTGTAAGACTGACCCACAAGAGTGTCCCAGAAGAGTGTTCCACAAAAGTGTCCTACAAGAGTGTCATTTGGACATATGTAGCTTTTCGATCGTGTTTGCATTCGGGTTCGTGGGCTCCATCTTGTTCCATGTAGTTGAGTGCCAGAAAGGTCAGGCTGGGCTGAGCTTCACGATGCCAGAGCAGGGAGGAATTGCTGGGGCATGACCATGCATCACTTCGATCAAGGGATGTGTAAAGGATTGCAGATCCCGTGACTAAACATTAAAGTGGGACATGTCACGAGATTTGAGGACTTCATTTTTGACTTGGCCAGTTAAGAAAAGCCGTATTTACAATGTGTGCAGAAGTCAGAACAAGCTCATGGCAGACCACTTGGCAGAGTAGCAAAATCCAAAGACTATCTCATGCTGCAGCAAACCTCTTCACGGGGTGCTTGCACTAGACAAAAGAAAGCGAACCGAGAGAAATTGCGTCGTAGTATTGATCCCACCGCACTTGTTGTTCAGAGTCGGGAATGAGCTTGACTCACACCTGAGCATTCAAAACTGCAAACTGTTCTCCCATGCATATGCTCAAGCCTGGAATTAAGAAACTGAATGCAGTGCAGCGGCCATGTTCACGAGGTGTTTTGTTTCCAGTCCCATGCGCAGATGGAGCCGAAGGTGAACTTGAAGCAGGTGAACAGGGCAGTGGCTGCGTGCAGCAACACAGAAGATTGGAAAGCTGCGTTGTGCCTGATGCACAAGCTGTCAGGTCTTCAGTTGCAGGCAGATGAGTTTACATATAGAGCAACAATCCAAGCATGTGGATCCAAAGCGTGGGAAACATCACTTCTCCTTTTGAAAGAGAGGCTTGATTGAATCAAGTGTTGTGTTTACGTGAATTAAATGTATGCACAACGACTGTCCATGTTTGATGCCTGCCATATCATAGTGTCTCTCTATGTTTGCCAGGAAGGCTTGAGACGAACATGTAAGCATAAAAGAATCGACCAAGGGTCAAACACACTTGGTAATTACTAGGTTGGAGGCCATTGCTACTACGTTGGAGGCCATCGTTGTTAGGTTGGAGGCCATCGCTCTGAGGGAGGAGGCCATCGCTACAGTCAGTCTCCCTTTGGCCACCCATTGTGCCTGTCCAGTTCCAGCAGTTCCCGCTGTCATCACACCCTCTCAGAAGACCAAGATACACCATGAACCGAACGGATAAATCAAATTACATGGACACACGTCACGTGATATCATGTGCAGACCAGCCCCAGGTGAAGCAGACAACTAAACTTGCTGTTGAATTTAAGTTCCCTAAAAATCTAGGACCAGACCATTGGTGCGAGCGCTATCCTGCGTCCATATGTAGTAGCATCCAGTAGCTACGTACGCGAACTTCTCCCTTGATTAAGTAGGCGCCTACTCAATTGGGTAAGGAGGCAGGGCCACGGGCTGAAAAAAATAATCAGTTAGCCTTCTATTAGAAACAAGAAGCTACTAGGAACAAGTGCATCGCTAGTAATAACAAGTGCCTTACCAGTAGTAACAAGAAGCTACTAGGAACAAGAAGCTGCTTTCTCGGGCTTTGGAGCACCACCCAAGGACATGCATGAGCTTCATGCCCAACAAGTTCATCTTCAGCGCTTGCATCTCCTGTGCGGCAAAAGCGGGTCAATGGCACATCGCTTTGTCGCTTTTGAACGACATGCAACAACAGGAGGTGAAGGCAGATAACATTTGTTTTAATTCTGTACTCAGCGCATTTCAGAAGAAGGAGTGGCTGAAGGCTATCGAGCTCGCCAACAGCATTTCAAAGCAGACATTGCGACGCTCTGCTTCTCGTAGGCGTCCCCCTTGAACTGCTTTACCGGCTTTACCCCATGTTTGATGAATGAGGGGTGCGTAATTGTAGTGCTCACTCATGCTGCTGACAAGTAAGAAAGGCCTAGGTAAAGAAGCAGCTGCTGCATTCACAGTTTTGCTGGTTTGCGTGGAGTTAATAAGAATGTCACTCCTTTAGTGGTTTCCCCCGTGTCGAATCGTTGCTTCTTGCATGTGAGGACTGGATGCGTTCAGCTTTAGTACTCTCTTGTCTGTTCCAAGCTGGCCCCGTGCAATGGCAAGACTGCAAAGCATGGAGACCTCATACATTGCACCGGACCTGTTCTGCTTTTCCTCTCTTTTGACCTCAAGAGATTCACCATGGCAGCAGGTCTTGAAAGGTTTGGCACGTGTGGCTTTCTTGAGACTACAGCCAAATCGAGTACTCTACAACTCCGCAGCAGGATCAAGCAAATGGCAGACAATCCTCGCCTGGCCTGTAAGGACTATGAGGACTATGACACCTGCAATTCAGGCTTTCACAGGCAAATGGAGACACTGCGTCGACCTGTTCCAAAGAACCATTATTTTGGATGTGTTTGGGACAAGTACCCTGATGGAACGATTGCGGAAGTTCAGACTCTGGGAGCTGGCAGTCTCGCAGTTGGACCGGGTAATGCACTTGGGCTTGCAACCCGACCACCATGTTTATCATGCGGCGGTGATTTCTTTGAAGGACAGCTGGTCGGCTACAGTCCAGACTCTTTGGATATATTAATACGATATGTGATATGTGTGTCTCCATTTGCTTCCTCAATTGTTCAGGAGTTTGGAACCTGGACCTTCTCCTTGTTGATGTTCAGCTTGATGACACAACGGCGAATCGACCACGACAACTTTAGCTATTCTGCAGTGCAATCCGACGAGTGTTGGCCACTAGCATCAGCACTGATGCAGGACAAGCATGTGGCGGTCAAAGGGACTAAGTGAGACATTGAAATGGAAGGGTCAAAGATTTGGAAAGGTCAAGGTAAGGGAACATTGGGATGTTGATATATATATATATATATCATTATATATCAACAGTCAAGGGCATGTTTGATTCAAGCATTCATTAATTCATTCATTCGTTCATTCATGCATTCATTCATTTGTTCATTCATACATACGTACAGGGGAAGAGAGAGGGAGAGAGAGAGAGAGTTATCAAAGCAGCTTTAGCTGAGGAGATGAGCCATGACATCACGTTGATTAGATAGTTACAGTAGAACCCTTCAAATGCTTCGAAAGCCAACAGCAAAACTGGTGGTCACAGATTGCGATAGCTGGGTTTGCCACCTTGCCAACTCAATTGGGTCCTAACTTTTTTTTTTGTTGGCATTCTCTTCTGGCCGTTCCTGGACTATGATCAAAATGACACCACAGGCATCTACAAGCCTCGCAAGTGAGCGCCAAGCCCACGAGCATTTTGTGTGAGGATGATAAAAGTCCGAATAGCAAAGCATGGAAACAATAGAAAAAGTTAGACATTATGTTCCTTCCAATGAGCATGAGCTGTTTCTTTTTAAGGAAGCACTCCTGCTCATGTTTTACGATCTGTGGCATTCCCTTGCAGCTCCCATGTTGAGTCTTCTGGACTCTTTCATCCCTTCCTGTTTCCAGGAAATGCATCAACGCTCTCTGGAGCTGACGATTTGGAACGTGCCCCTCGGACCGGCCCCTTGGGTCAATGCTTTGGAGCTTCTCCGGATCATGACTATGACATTACTAGGCACTGTGACTGCGGTGACGGTCGAATGTTCAGAGATGCCGCAATGTAGCGCAGTGCTCATGAGTATTCCAAGGAAGTTTAACTCAGTCTCACCCTTTGCGTGCCCATGTTACATGAGTGATGTGTTTTTATGCCTTGCACTTCTATTTGGATGTGTGTTTAGCTTGCACATGCCATATCACCGGTGTGCAAAGAGCGTGTTTTTTTCGACTGGCATAGAGAGAGAGAGAGAGAGAGAACGCGCACGACATCTTAAGCATGGCAGCGCTCAAACGAATACAATGAGCAAAGTTTTGTTTGGCATGTTTTGTAGAAGACAAATATGCTCATGGATGGATGACAAAATGGATCCCAGCAACCTGACCTGCCAGATGTGGATGCAGCTTCCTTCAACGCTGCTTCTCGGCACGCATTAGAACTGTTCCATTCGTTGTTGCCAACGTGAGATGCATCAAACATGCTCCCTGAGTGTCAGGCCATTACTGGTTGTGGTGATTGGCAAATGGCCCTCGAACTTCTAGCTCAAATGGACTGCAGGGCAGTGCAAAAAGATGCTTTTGGATACAGTGCGATCATAAGAGCATCGGTAAAAAGATCTGAGTGGCTCCGGGCCTTACACTTCTTAACATCCATGGAGCAGCTTGCCATCAAAGACCCCTCCAGCGTAGCCTTCAATGCAGCACTCAGCGCCGATTTTTTGGGCGACTGGCGGAAGACCCTCGATATGCTGCTGACCGGCAGAGCACGTCGGACGCAGATCACCGAGATCACCTTTAGCACAGCTATTGCGGCATGCGAGAATGGCATGCAGCAGCAACTGGCTTTATCTTTGCTGTGGGACGCAGAGGCACGGTACACAGTCATGAAAATGAGGTTGCCCTCATGTCATGCTGAGGGTGAGTGTATAGAAGCAAGAGTGATGGTGATTGAGTTGTTCCGGTTGTTGAACCCAAAGAAACCAATGCTAAACGCAAGATTGCCTTCTGCAGGAAGCTGGAGTGCTGCCAGTGGCTTCATTTCTTGTTGCATGTGGCCGTGCGAGTGTCCGTGATCCAGTGGCAATCCACTCAGCTTTGACGGAGGCATCAATGGCAACGAGAGACGCACGACCGACGCCAGCTGAAATTGCCCAGTTCTGGCGCTCGTGTGCCCTTCTAGGTGCCTGCAGCTCCGAATTCCACTGGAAGACTCCCGGCGGCACAATGCGGCACACCTAGCTCGGTTTCAAGATGTGCGCTTGCAACACCTCACAACACCATACTTAGCTTCAAACTTGAACTGTTTGTGGAATTCATTAAACTAGAGTCCACTGGCTCCTGGTGGAATGCTATTTGAGGCTCAAAGAGCATATGCAGCCACTCGAAGCTTTCAAACTGGAGGAGCTTGTGCTAGTGGCCTGGGGGGCAGCTGCATTCCCAACGCCTAGTGGCCTGCAAATACTGGAATCTTGGCCTCAGATGGCCTCAGTGTACCTTCAACTTGGAAGCCTTTTGAATTGTTGATTGCAGAAAGCCTTGATGGTGGGTCACGCGAGCCTTTCAAAAAATATCGGCTCGCATCAGGAACTCCTTCAGAAGGAACTAGTCTTGCGCTTGCAGCTGCCGTCCGAGAAAAGACGGCAAATCTTATGGAGGCAGAACATGTTAGGACTCTTGGCCTGCCAATGGTTGTTTCCTTTCCGTCAAAAAGAGCAGGAGATCTTTGTGCAACGAATGGTCATATTTTTGGTGCCAAGAGGTTGGTCGCCCTAACAGTTAGTGGCACTAAAAACCCTGATGTGGCAAGGACTCTTGCAAGCCTGCAGCTTTCTGGGCGTACTCAGTGCGAATTGCCTGCAAGACGTTGACCTTGCTCTACGGAGCCTGGGACGAAGCCTCGACGCTATCGACAGTCGAACAGTTCCATCTCCCATTTCACCGCCTTCGGACCTTTCAGAAGATGGAACAACTGGGAGACCGGATCGGACCGGGCGAGGACCGAGCGTACCTTTGGTGCAAATGGACTTAGAGGATCGAATGGTTCTATTGAAGCCAGTCGATTGGGAAGTCCATGATGAGAACATGGAGCATTTGGGCTGCAAGAGTGGTGCAGTCGTAAGAAATAGAAGATGATGTCCATCGCAATCCAGGAATTCATAAGAACCCAAGTTTTGTTTCTTTTGCATGTACTGGTGTCCTTGCTACTAATCATACTAATCGCCCCCCTTACCCAGCTTCTAAGCTACTAAGCTTACCCGCCCAAATATGGGGACACGGCCTCACTTCTGGATAGGCAGCAGGTGGTTGGCTTCTTGCAGAGCTCCGGATTCTCATTACCAATCCTCAAGGACAAAGACTTCGGCCAAGGTTTGGGTTAGATTGAGTTTGACGCCAAAAATCTATGAACATCTGAAATCATTAGAATGAGCTAGACTAGGTCAACAGTCAAGTTATGGTGGAGGCCATCGCTATTAGGTTGGAGGAGTTGGTTAATATAAGTCCCGTATCAAGTTAGTCACTGTAGGTGTGGATTCCTTAGACCCCCTTGATGGGTCAGGCTTTTTGCATCGATTGGATGTGCCAAGCTCCGGGCTGCTTTTGCTGGTGTCGGCCTCAAGACTAGGACCAGGAAAGAGACAACTCCAGATGGAGATTCAATATATCAAGACAAGGCAGAGATGGAATCAAGACTGGTAGGTCTTGTCTTTTCGAGGCCAAGACCTACGAAGCTCATTGCGATCTATCTGTTCAGCTGGCATCTGGCCAAATTCAGCGTGACTATTCGGTCCTGTCTCATGGGTGGGCTGTGCGCACCGAGATTCGAGCACAAGTCTATTGGAGGCCTCGGCGTGGTGTCTATTGGTTTCGACTGCCCAGTGGTTCCAAGCCATACACTTGAACACTCTTGAACCGCTTGAACTTTCAAGACTTGAGCATATGGAATGTATATATGCTTGTCTAACAAGGTCTAGTGCTTTCTTGTAGTGTCTTTTGATGTCTTTTGGTTTGGAGCTTAACATTGTTTGGACCCCGATGCCAAATCCCGATGCCAGACAAACCCCGATGCCAAATCCTTGAACTGCAAGTAGACAACCGTCGTGGCTTCAGGCGGGCACCGGTGACGCAATCCAGCGGGCAAGGCAAGCCCGCTCTCACCAAGGCAGACGGGCTCGAGTACAAATGCTGAAACTGAATCTCTCTATATATATATACACTGTAATATGAACTATATGAAGATCATGTGAACCAACCAAAGATACGGGCTGACAGGACGAGTTTGTTTCAAAGTTACCGCAACAGATGCCGAGAAGGAACAACGCTGCGTGTCTCTCCTTCGTCAGAGTCCTTTAAAGAAATGCGGCGAAGACACTCTTGTTGCCAAAGACATTGCCTCAGGTGAAGATACTGAATCATTATATTCTGCCAACTGCAGCAAGTTTGATGGCCATTCGCATCATTACTGGCCGCCAGCATCAGATACGCACGCACTGTGCGCATGTAGGTCACCCTTTGTTGACTGACGGTCACTTTGTCGAAATTCAAGCAATCAAGTACTATCAAGGGTATAACAGCTGCGTATAATTCAACTGTCCTGCAATCATTAGGAGCTCTAATTGTTGATTGTTTTTTGCATACCCATAATGTATATATATATATACATACACAACACAAATATATCCACCTACTGTACTCAACTGTTCAAATTCTTGTGGCATTCTTGTGTGAGACTTTCTGCAATACACTGGGATCCTTTATGGTTTCCTGAGGAAAATATTCGAGCACCGTCACCTACATGAATGATCAACAATTGTCCAGCCACAACGCTCTCCATCGGCAGCGATTGGCTTTTCGTGATCTTTGTGGCAGAGTCCAAGAGGCCCATTCATTGGGAACAAAGGAATTGTGTTCACTGTTTCATGGACTGAACCAAAATGTACAACTCTTTGCCTCAATACTTGCCCACTTTGAAGTTGGGAGAATTGAGATGTGTGAGTTTCTATGGGTTTCGTTTAATCCTGCCTACGTTGTTTTTGCGCAAAATTTTCACCTGTACGATCATTTATTTAAGGATTGGCTCTGGGGCAGCGAGAGCCCATGATGGTCCCCAGTGTACGCAAATGGCTGTTGTTTTAGAGGAGAAACAGTTTTGTCTTGCAAGCCCTCTCTTCTCTCCTGCATGCCATCAAGTTTGTTTCTTCAGACCTTTTCAAACCTTGTCAGCCAACTCCAGGTCACAGCCCCTTTGAGTCCGGAGTTTGCGTCAGTGCTTGAGCAGCTGGTGCCCAAGTCCAAGGCCAGGTCTGAGTCTAGTAAGTCTAGTAGATTACCCAAATCCTTTGCTAGAAGGTATGTTAAAGGCCCAAGGACTTCAGCGTTTGAGAACAAGTCGTACCACCTACTGCAATTGTTTGTTCTTCCATACGCTTCTTTCGAAAGTGCTTTGGGCTCCTTGCTCAGTGTGTTGTTGCCGTGAGGCGAATGTGCAGATGTGAAACCATCAACAAGTGTGAAAAAGAGGCAGCCGCAATTGGCCGGAGCTCGAGATAAGAGTAGAACAGTAGAACCAAGTGTCCCCAGCGGGAACCAGCTGTCCCTAGAATGCTTTAAATCAACTGAGCAACGTCATAAACCTCTATGAGAGAATTTAGCTAGGACTTAAGATTATAAATCTTTGCGAAAGGAAAACTGCAGTTGGAGAAAGCTTGGCGAAAGGTTTGGAGAAAGGCTCTGATTTTTTGATGAATGGATTTTGTTGCGAAAGGGTTGGCGAAGGAGGTTTCCAGTACAAAGCATGTCATCTAAATGGTTGTTCTAAAGTCCCAAAGATTCCTGATAACCAGGCGAAAGGTTCGCGAAGATACGGCAAAAGCAGTGGTTGCAGATTGGAAATGATTTCCCTTTGCTGATACTTTGCTTAGGTGTAATTAAGTAGCAGAAACTCGGCGAAAGGGCTAGCGAAAGAGGTTTTTGGGTGAAGTGGGTCGGCGAAAGCAAAACATGGAGCCGCGAAAGCGTTGCGAAGGGATTGGCGAGTGGTTTTAATATTTCATAAAAGCTCCGGATGGTTTTTGACACCGTTCAACTATGCTGGCTTTGTAGAAGATATACTGGTTGCTGCGGGGAAGCCTGCAGTAACTTTGAAAAGCCAGTAGATGCTGACTCTTGGGGTTGCAGTGCATGGAATCCTGAAGTTCTCGACTACCTAGAAGAACCGGCCACGGCTACTAATCCAGAATTATCCAGAATTGCTGATTTGGTGGACAAAACACCATTTGAGCAAACGATTCCAGGAGGAACGGACCCAACGGAATACACTTGTTTGTGCAAGGGAGAGGCTCCGCTCATTGATCCAACCAAAATGTTGCTTGTGGACTTGTGGATGTCCTTTTGCATTGAATGTTATCTCGTTGAGTTTGCTTGCCGCCAATGACTAATCTCAAGAGGATGGACGGTCTTGGGCCATTCCCAGCAAAACATCCAGAAGGCATTGCAAGTGCCAGGGTTTTGGTGCCTTGGATCCACGATCCCTTCTGACTGCAGTGCCATTGTGGTAGGGAATTCAGAGTATTCCTCAGGCTGAATGCCTTTACAGAGTCTTTGTTTTCCGAGCCTCCATGTGACGCTCCACGCGCACATCATATCACTGACACGATCCTGAAGGTGCAGCATATTGCAGCGCATGATCAGCCCATAAAAGGTTATTGCAGACTGCAGAGATTTGAGCATTCATGTCAGCCCTACTTGGCATAGGCATAAGCCTTGTGTGTAGAATTTCTACTAAAACTCCCTTAAGTAATTGCCAGACAGATCAAAATGGCCAGCACGTAACACAAGATGGACACCGTGAGCCATGGGACGGATGTTTTTCTAATTACATTTGCGCTTTCTAGTAACAAGTGCATCGCTTCTAGTAACAAGTGCCTTACTAGTAGTAACAATGTTTGCTACTAGGAACAAGTGCATCGCTTCTAATTTACTTATTGTTTCTAATAGTATTTTGTTACTAGTAGCGATGCCCTTTGCTCCTAGTAGTAAGACCAAGGAGCCCCTAGTAGCGTTTTCCTAGAACCGTTCCCCTTTCCTCGCTTGAGCCATGGGACGGATGTTTCTTGCCTCGGCTACCCTGCTTTTCCGCTTTTCGAGCAGTCTCCACCCGCCACCAGCTGTTTGTTGTGAAGGTGAAGTTGCTCCAGTGACCTGGGCAGTTAATGGATCTTCCCCAGGCGTTTGGTGTTCTCAAATGCTTTACAGTGCTGAGAACTACATGGGCTGTGCAGCTTTGCTCTCCTGCGAGCGTCGTGGACAAGAAATTTGGCTCACGTGCCCTGATGGCTACGAGCCGGATTGTGTTACAGGCTGTGTGCCGTTTGAGAAAGATTGTCCAGAGAACGATGTGGATCTCATCTCTTGGGTACGGAATCATGGCGGTTTTGTTGACGAGCGTTTGGTCATCAGAGATGGAGACCATGGCCGAGGTCTATTTGCCAAGGATGGGGCTGGGAGTTTGTTGAAGACTCAAAACCAACATGCCTTAGGAGGGCAAAGCCCAATGCTTCAAAGTTTGTAATTAGATCTTTGTTCAGGCTTGCCTATGCCGACCAGTGAAATGTCCGAATCACTGACAGATCAATGCACTTTGTACCAGTTAAACTGTTGCCTTCAGTACTGGTTGCTTCAGAAGTGCTTCGAAACGCAGGAAAACATCGCAACAACTGATTTATTGGTGTCCTTGCCCTTGGAGCTGATCATTACAGACAAATCTTCACCATGCGCTGCCGTCCGACAGCTGCGGAATGAGTTACAGCGAGGTAAGTGTTCCTTTTACTGGCCATATTTGAAGACATTGCATGGCGCGCACATTTCGGTGCCAGATGTGTGGTCCTTTGAGGAACGATCTTTGTTGGATGGATTGCCAACACCACGGGGTGGCTGGCAAAGTTATTCAGCCAAATATTTCACTGATTGCCTTGACACAAACGCTGATGCCTTGACCTTGCACGCTTTGATGCTCTACCATACGCGTGCTGGGCCTTTTGGTCGCTTGGCTTTTAGAGGAATCTGAAGGGACCACCTGTCCATGTACAAGCCAAGAAACCCAGATGCCAGAAATGCCGCACAGGGCAGAATGAAATATAGATCAAACTTAGTTGACACAACATCTAACTCTCCGGCATGTTGATTCGAGAGCGAGGGAAGCCTCCAGAGTTGTGACTCTCAATGTGTGTGTGCTCGTGGGAACGGCCGTATACTTTCATTCGGGTCCTAGTAGCGTCCTTGTTCCTAGTAGCGATGCCAGGAGCCCCTAGTAGCGTTCTTGCTCCTGGTAGTAAGGCCAGGAGCCCCTAGTAGCTTTTTGCTCCTGGATGATGGCCCAAGGCATGAGCCCTATTTTTGATATCATGAATCATGGCCTCGTGGCTGCAACAAGACAAGGTGTAACAAGATATGGGTAGCATCAGCTTGCACGTGGATGTTTTGTGACACATGAGAGGGGGCCAATAATAATGCAAAGTTTAAAAAAGCAGGTGGATATACAATAGGTTGGAGGCCATCACTACTAGGGTGGAGGCCATCGCTATTAGGTTGGAGGCCATAGCTATTAGGTGCTATTAGTAGCAGGTTCACTGAGTCCACTGCTGGAATTGTACCAGCGTGTACACCAACACACTCTCTACCAGGTCATGCGGATCTCCTGTGGACCCTTTGTGGGGCTGAAGGTTAGTTCAAACGGTGCTTTCATGTTCTTCCGATTTACAACGACTAATATAGGCGACAGCGGCTTGAAGTTGCACGCACAACCTGTTGATCTCAAGTGGCATGGATCAAGACCCGTTGTGCCGATTACAAGCTAAATTGATGGGTGAGGGGTGTTGGCTCAAGCCCCTGTGTTGAAGCATACGTAATACATCGCAATATAGGCCACTAAATGGGTCAGAGGGCCATACTAAATAGAGAGCTGTTCAGCATTTCTGATCATTTGCAGCGTTTGTGTCCATTGCTTTCAAAGGTTTCACACCTTTGATGTGAGGTTACAATGTTACGTGGCATGGCTTTGACGCAGAGGATGGACATAAAGGCACATCTCAAGAACTCTCGCATGCCGTTCTGCTTTTGCTCGAGGTTTTGCCGTGTGATTTCCCGCCATTGGCTCTTGGAATGCCAGGAAGCTTTTGGTTCCGCGCTGCTTCTGAAATCAAAGCAGGGGGTGAACTACTGAATTCCATGGTGAATCTTGGCTCCAAAGAAGCTGATCAGCGCCAAGGACAATTGAGGGATACTGAGGGTGTTGTGGACATATCGCATCGCTGGTTGGGAAAGCCTGATCAGGAACGGCGTTGCTTTTCGCCCAACTATTGTGCCTTTGCAAAATTGGAGAGAAGAGCAGGAGAGATGCAGCCAGACACGTTTCCAGACTAAGCAGCCACACTGTGTGCTCCAAAGATAGGGCTGTGAAACCACTGAGTCCTTCCAGATTTCTCCCAAAGCTGCAACATCTATGGAGATGTGCCACACTGTCTAAGAAGCTTTGCTGGTGCTGAGGCACCAGGTATGCACTCGGAAGATTTTGATGGTGCACCTGAAATCTTCGGGAGCCTTTGCTAGTCAATGTTTGATTGCTACGAGGTTGCTACGAGGTCATGCAGTTGAAGTCCAGAAGCCGTCTGACTTGTCAATTTCTGCTTTCATTCCGTGAAGAAACTTCACCCCGAAAGTTTCTGACCCACGGACACCAAGATTCTTGTTAGTAGCGATGCCCTTTGCTCCTAGTAGTAAGGCACTTGTTTCTACTAGCTTCTTGTTACTACTAGTAAGGCACTTGTCACTAGAAGCGATGCACTTGTTACTAGTAGCGAACATTGCTCCTAGTAGTATGGCCAGGAGCCCCTAGAAGCGTCCTTACTCCTAGTACCTAGTAGCGATGGCAGGAACCCCTAGCAGCTTCTTGTTCCTAGTAGCATCCTACTTTCCAGGATGTTCCGTTAGAGATGTCACGTTAGGAACTACCGCTGAGACCAGGAACTACGGCTTCCTCGAGTCACCTCCAGTGATGTGGTGGTTCCAGGGTGTCGATGAGCGACACGCGTGGATTGTGGATGCAGAAGGCAAGAACTGGCAAGAACTCCAATCCAACGAATCAGAAACAACAAGCGATGGCCTCCAAACTACTAGTTACAGTACTAGCGATGGCCTCCACCCTAGTAGCGATGGCCTCCAACCTAAGAGCGATGGAGCAAAAAAGCCCGAGTCTTTGTGATGAACAGCATTTGTCCCGCTTTGGGTTCACTTTAGAATGTCACTGGTATTCACGAGAGGAAGACTCTTTTGCGCCGCAGGCTCTGCAACCTGGTTTCAAACCACCGAACACGGCCCTGGAACAAACATCACAGCACTTCTGGTGGATGGGGCAGCAATGCTGGTGGATCTTGAGGAGTGCAAATAGTGCGGGATCAGCCTTTACAGGTTGCAGATTGAAGAGGCAATGTATGAACACATGTGATCTAGGATTGTGATGATTGAGTGATCAGTTCAGAGTGCTCGGAGGTGTTGTGAGTGTCCTGTCTTTTCCAGGGTTTTTCTATTCAGTACTTCCTGGTTTCTGCCGGGAAGATTGATTTGCTGAATCAAAGATGCCGCAAGGAGCGACAACAACGACTCGCACAGATTGTGCCAAAGAGGCTTGGTTTTTCAATGGCCCACCTGAGAACGTCAGGATTCAAAACCCTATGATGTTTGGTCTAATCAGGTTGGGTAGATGGCATCAAGCCTGACGTTGAAGCAGCTTTCATATGAAAATGCGCACTCCAGTGGTCTCCAGCTTGTTTGTGCGCATTCCAGTTGTGTTTTGCAGCAGCGACTTGTTGATCCTTGCACATGCAATGCCCGATTAGACAAGTGGCTTGAGGACCTCGGTTGCCAACCCCAACCATCGTGCACTACAGTATCGTGAGGACGGACTAGAGTGGGTGCAAGGTGCAATGCTTGTGGTAGGGGGGTATGCCTTTTTGAAGCATTGACCTAGGCCTTCAAAACTGCTTTGAAGACCGCAATGGAGGCTGCCCAAGTTGAGCTCAAGAGAAGCCGAGATGAGTTGTGAGGCCAAGTCAAAGGTGTGTGGCTGCTGTTTACTGTACGGAGCTGCTTGATAACTCCACGGGATGGTGATGAGCTGTGGGGTTCTTTGATGATCCGATGATTTGTGGCCTGATAGCTTTGGTTCGCACAAGCTAATGCTGACCTCGGTGTTGAGAAGTTTGGAACGATTTGCAGGCTTTTCAATTGTGCCACAGAGTCACTCACCCACCCTTTCACAAGTCAAAAGAATCGAAGTCTCAACCCTGTCTTTTTGCAACAAGAGGAAGCAAGATCTGGAAAGTACATCCCAGTAGTACTAAGCAATACAATAAGACAATTATGCTTGAATGCCTTGCTACGCAGAGTCCACCCTGTGTCGTTCATCATGAGTGGCGCTGGCTCGCGAAATTTGCTCCCTGACAGCAGTTAGGCCAAACAAAGCATTGCTCGGTGTTTCGTACCACTTGCATCCAATTCTATTGTCATTGTGCTCAGGCAGAGCTTGGTGCTCAGGCAGGAACTCTGCCGTCATTTCACCATCTCTATGATTGAAAGCGACAAGAAGCACTGCTATTGATTGCTATTGACAAACTTATAAACTCATGATTCATTTGTGGTTTCAAGATGTTTCAAGGGTTTGTTTGCATATTGATAGCTGCACACTGCAGTCCAAATGCTGTGCACGTGTAGAATTCGGAAGGCCGTTTCATGCGATCCAATTCAACACGTGTTTTTCGATGACCAGGTACAACTACTTCCTCAACACATTGGACAATTCTTTGGCCAATGAGGTGCCGTGATTGAAGCGAACTCTTCACTTCAATTCATGGTGCAAATCCAAATGGAAGGGTTCTTTGAGCATCTCTTTTGCGTTTTCAACCTCCCTTGTGGGCGGCTCAATTGAGGGTCCCCTGACTAAAGAACGTAAATTTTGGAATTGTCCACAACTACTTAAGAGCGGGACCAGTTTTGCACATTTTGAGGATTCACTATTTTGGGTTGGTTTCCAGGACACATCGATGGACACGCTGAAGTCTCACTACAATGAGCTTCTCAAATTTGTCAGAAACCTCAGCCCGGAGGAGACTGTCATTAGCATTGAAGTGTCAGATGAAGTGGCCGGTTATTTCGACCTTTTGCTGGCACGCTTTGCTGCACTCAAGGAATCATCTATCCAGCTGAAGCATGTTGACTGCACAACTGTATGTGTGTTTTTAAAATACAGACAGATCGCAGGAGAAGCAAGAAATCCAGCGTGAAAACCAGGACTGTCAGCGAAAACGGTCACTGTATTGTTCATGCCCACTTACTGGGAAACGAATTCCAGACAGACCAGACCACAGGATTGGGATGCCGAAAGACGAAGGCAACTGCAGGACTGAGTTCCGCCAAGGCATGCAATCCTTCTGATATTTTCTGGCCTTCTGATGCTTTCTGCCGCAGGAGCGCTGCAGAGTTAAAGGCATCATAGAAGAGTGATCCAATAGCCACAATGAAGGCTACGCTAATACATTGAGACCTGATGGACTCACTCCGTTCCACCAACATTGAAAAAATACTTTAAAATGGGACCAAAAGACATCCAAACAAATACAAAAATGCATGGCTACATAAAAATTGAAACAGAAATATGTTTATACGATATATATTATGATGATTTATGATGTATAAACATTTTTTTTTTGGTATTATTTTTAAAATCGTGCGTTAAAGGAAATTTAGGGTGTAAAATTTCTGTGTTACGGACTTTTAAAAGCTCTAGCTCTAGTTAGCTCTAATGATAATTAGCTTTTTCGTTCCATTTTATCTTTAATTAGTTTTAGTTGAGTTAGTTTTTATTTTAGTTTGCTTTAGTTTTTATTAAGTTTCTTTTAAAAGCTCTGATTTTAATTAGCTTTTTAATTTTATTTTAGTTCTAGTTAGCTTTTAGCTTTAGTTAGTTTAAATTTTAATTAATTGTAATTTTAGTTAGTGTTGATTTTAATTAGTTTTAGTTTCAATTAGTTCTAGTGTTGGCTTTATAGGTGTTTATTATGTATGTTGGAAGGAAGTCTCGTATAAAGTGCGTGTTTGAGAGATAGCGAAAATATAGAATATTATTTTTAAAAAATAAACGATGAATTCGATTTTTGGTTTTTTGAATTAAATTTAGCGGAACGATTATTTCCGGACGATTTCGGATTATAATCGTATTATTTATTTTATTGAAAAAAAAAAATGGTTTATATAAATGTATTATTGATGGAATATTAATATATTATATAATTTTTGGATGATTTCCGTATTATAAATATAATTATAAATACTATTGGTAGATGAATTATTATTGGATTTTTATTATATTAATATATATATATATTAATAATAGGATTCTATTGAATTTTTGCAATTCTTATACGATTTTCGCAATATAAATATTATTGATGGCTAAATTATCGCAAAAATTTTATTATATTTTTTTAAAATCTATTTTTTTTTTTCGCAATATAGATTGTTTTTTTATGGTAGATTCGATTATTTATTTTGGAAAGAAATCTTGTATAAACGAGATATTATAATTTGAAAATGAATTCGAATGTTAATTAAATTTTATCGAATTATATTAATTATTTTAAATAGGTTTTTGTTGTAATTAAATTATATATTTATTTTTATTTATATATTATTGGATTTTTTTATTATTTTATATTTTTTGAATGATGTTTATATTATGAATTAAAATATAACTATAAATATTATTGATAAATGAATTGTCGTTGGAATTGTATTAGAATTTGCGATTCTAGGATTATTATGGTAATATATTGCATTTTTATATTTATTTGGGTAAAATTTTCACTATGCATTTGGATAGGTATAAGGTTTTACCAATTCGAATCGTTTCCGTTACCTTCCTTTCGAGATTCGGGAGGGCGTATGTCCTGACAAGGTCGCGGCCGCGGCGCTTGATTGCGTCATCGTATTTTTTAAAATCACGGATTTCGAATGCCGTTTGTTACCTTTTTCGCATTGGTAGCGGAGCCTCCTCCGGAGGGCTCCGAATCCTTTGCACGAAGAAGAACGAGGTTCTGCATCAGTCTTTTGTTACGAACCCTTGGCCGAGTCCTTGTCATAGTGCCAGAACGATTACGCCGTTATGGATTATTTGCATGACGTTATCGTTGTGGACCGGAAAAAAAAGGGGTCCATAAGGCAGGTACGAAGGGACATTCCTGCAGGTCAAAAAAAAGTTGTCGCCGGCTTGCCCGGGAATTGCTCGTATTTCATGTATTGCTTATCGATATTTGTTTTAACGGTGCAAACGCGTAGCTGTACAGATTCGCGTATACGCATATATTAATATGTTGGATTTATCAGATCTAATTTTTATATTAATAATAAGCTTCGGATATAAATTCATTATCTGATAAGCAAATCCGTAATTTGCATTCGGATTTTTAATTGCATTTTTAGAATATACGAAACATCCTTCCAAATCGTTTTTGCTAACTAGAGCTAAAGCTGACTAGAGCTAGAATTACCTAGAGCTAAAGAATTGATTAGAAATAGAATTAACTAGAATTAAAATTGATTAAAATCCGTAACACAGAAATACGCATTTTGTACGAAATTTCCTTCCAGAATACATATTGCATACCAACAAAACGAAACAATTCTACAAGGTTTCCTCCAAAAATAGAATTGTCAGATATGATCCAACCAGATATAAAAATGCAATGAATATTACGAGAACCATTGAAATTCCAGCGACAATTCATCCACCAGTAACACTTGCAATCATATTACACTTGCAATCCCATTTATAAAATGGAAATCATCCAAGAATTGCAAAACGCAATAGAATTCCATCAATAGCACGTAGATAAAAATAGATAAAAATTCTATTTACAATGGAAAGACGATTCTAATATGATCCGAAAATGATGCGAGGACATTCCGCAACCGTCGTTCCGCAGAGCTTGATTTCTCAATACAACATTTCGTGCGTCCGTTATCTCTCGAAAATGCATGTTAAACGAGATTTCCTTCCAAAATGCACGTTAAACACCTGCCCAACGAAGCCATTCTGCGAGCTTTCCTCCAAAAATATGATTGGAAGATATGATCAAATCAGATATGAAAATGCAAATTTCATTGTGGGAACGATCCTCGAATTGCAAAATACAATGAAAATTCCAACTACAATTCATCTCCCAACAACAGTTGCAATCATATTTACAGCGCGGAAACCATCCAGGAATTGAAAAATGCAATGAAATTACACATCAGCAACACGTGCACAAGAAACAGGTGAAAATTCTAGTTACAATGGAAGGATGATTCGAATATGATCCGAAAATAATGCGAAGACGTTCCGCAACCATCGTTCCGCAGAGTTTGATTTGCCATATTCGGAGCCGCCCTTTGTTGTGAAAAATCCTTTCGAAAACGTATGTTGCATGAGATGTCCTTCCAAAATATATATTAAACACCTGCAAAACGAAGCCATTCTGCGAAATTTTATTACAAAATGCATATTAAAGATTTGATTGGAATTAGAGTTAACTAGAGCTAGAGCTGTTAGAACATATATTTTACAATATACGAGATTTCCTTCCAAAATGCATATTCAAGAATTAATTGGAATTAGAGACAACTAGAGCGATCTTTTTTTAATATATATTTTGTACGAGATCTCCTTGCAAAATGCATATTGAAAAGTTGATTGAAGCTATAACTAATTAAAGCTAGAGCTAACTAGAATTAAAGCAAATTGAAGCTAGAATTAATTGGGATTTGAATTAATTAAAGCTAGAATTAATTAGACTTAAAATCAATTCAAGCTAAAAATCATTGGAACTAAAGTTAATTAGTAATACTAGTGGTAGTAATAATCGTCGTAAGAGTATTAGTCGTAATAATAGTAGTAATAGTAATAATATGTAGTAGTAGTAATAATATGGCGTAGTAGTTACAATTATAATTGTATTTATAGTTATAATAATAGTAATAATAATAATCGTCGTCATAATAATAATAATAACAATAATCATAAATAACAATAGCAATAATCGTAGTTTTTCATTCATTCACTTCCAGCCTGAGTAAGTTCAGGCCCGTGTTGGGCAGCACGACATTTAAGTCGCGGGTGCTTCTGAGAGCATCTAGCCACAATCACGAAGCATGCG